AATTAATTTAGTTGTTCGTCTATAACATAATCCAGGGTTCCTCCTTTGGCTCTCGATACCACGAAAAAAAAAGGTGTAACAGAAAGAGACCTGACAGATGAAATAACTTTAGTTCTAACCAATATTATATTTTTTTTTTCATCTGTCAGGTCTCTTTCTGTTACACCTTTTTTTTATTAATACAGAAAATAAAATAATTTAAATTTGTTTTAAATTTTGTTTGGAAAAATTCAAAATAGACAATTTTTTATAAGAGCAATTTTGATAGTAAGAACATCTATCTAAAATCTAAGTTAACTAGTTTATTTTTTAGAATTTTAAAATATTAATATGTTTTTGAGTAAATTAATTTAGAACGTAATAACTTCTTCAAAATATTATTTTTTGATATTTCTTGACATACCTATTATATTTCTTTAACTATTTATTAACCATTTAATTTTCACAATTTTTTTCATACGTTTAAGGAGCACATTTTTTTTTCTTTTTTTGTCATGTTAAATCTTTTACGCTGTGTAAAATATACCGTGTAATATTGTGAATTAATCGTTCTTGAAATAGGGGACGAAACCAAGAAGAAAACACTAATATTAGAAGTTAGAACTGAAACCTTCTGAAAACCATAAAACCTAAATCGTTACTTTGTTAAAATTTAAAATTGTATTAAACCAAAACGGAAATCGAAATTGATACTCTATAATATAGTCTAATAGACAAAAAGAGCTTTTTAAGGTAATTTCAGGTTATTTTTAATTTTAATAAATATTATGTTTACAAAATAATAATATAGTAATAATAGTTCAATTTTTTTTATTTGAAATTATTTTTAAATTATAAATTACACAATTTCAATCTAAATAAATGACACTAAAATATATAATATATTATATTAACGTGGGGGGGGGGGGTGGAATGACCGAGTGGACTAAGGTGTCGGTTGTGAAGCACACGGGCGCTGGTTCAAACCTCGGTTCACGGGCGGCATTTTTCTTCGGGCAAGTCACGGTGTCCGGAGAGAAGTGCCACCATCCCACACCCGGGGATGGCAGATACCCAGGTGTCCATTAAAAAATCCACCAAAACTATACACACGTGTTTACAAACCAACAGTACCCACCCCTACAAACAAAACAAAAAAAAACAAAAACAGCTAATGGCCATAGTTGCCGGGCTTAATGATCAATGAAAAAAAAATATATATCTATAAACTTATACCTATTGATTTTACAACCAATAAATATATTATGTTGGTATAGATTATAAATTCAGTTTTGATGTTGAAGAGGACGCTATAAAATAATATTTAAATTTTGCATGCATATTACTAGGAATTTAGTTATTTTCTGAGTCTTAAAAAATTTAAATTAGAAATACCTGTTATATATATTATCCAAAACATAAATATTATAATCATATAGGTTCTAGTCACCATATATACCTATAATAGGTCTAATTTTTATTAATGTTTCTAAACTGCAATTATGGGTTGGACTTTAAAATTTGATAAATTCTAGATAATTGTTGGTGAACCGACAGATACCGACCAATATATATATAAACATAATATAATGGGGTTGGTACCTTAAATTATATAACTATTGTTTATCTAACGTTAAACCGAATAATACTGCATAGGTATAGTCCCCTCGTCGATGATCTTCTATACCTATAGGTAGGTACCTAAGACAAAAATAATGACAATTATAATATAATTGCTGTAAGTTCACAATCACTACGTCACCTCAGTATAAAGTATAAGCCATCTATGAATATCATAATATATTATATTATACAGTACATACTGAGTTACTATATATATATCGATGGCGTAGCGCACAAGTGTGATAAGTGACATTTTTTTGAAAAATGAGTTAAGTGCATAATCAATTTAATCATACAATTCTGCACATTATGCCCAAACGTTGTAAGTGAATAGTTCATCATTTACTCAGATAGACGTCGTACAGTTCGTTACATTTTTGAATTTGTTATGACATCTCAAACTTAAAAATCGTTCTCCTGAACAATTACGAAAATGTCACTTATCACACTTGTGCGCTACGCCATCGATATATGCCTACCGCAGTACCGGCTTTACCTATAACTACATTATTACATGATATTAATGAACGGCAAAAGTGCTGTTGCATGTGCTCCGGTAGCGATGCGACAGGCACGGGAATCTTCATTAGGCCGATTGTTGAATTCCACCATCGTATTTGGAGGCTGCAGCAGTACACATAATATTATTATAATGTTTCGATAATGTAATATTATTATAATATTTATAAGTGTATTATTGTACAAAACGCCGAACCAAGAAAGCGCGAACGACTCGCTGCAGTGTATGTGCGTGCAGAGCACATTAAGCATATTATAATATAAAGGTATATACCTATAGGTACACTCGAAGGATATATGTACGACGCATATACCGTGCGACGGGGTGCAGCGGTGGAGTATAATATATATTTACTGTTGCGGCAACAGCGACGACGCACACCAATTAGTGTTCCTTAAATCAAATAATAGATGTACATTTATGTATAAATGCCTACGTATATACATTTTACACCGTTTGCGGTGTCTATTCTGGTCCCGTAATCGTAAGTTTGGCAGTTTGCACACAAAAGTTAACAAGGCAACCAGCGGCGGCGCCGCCCTTTATACGCGGACAAGACGCAATCGCATATAATCTTTCCCCGTCCCTCTTATTCGCACCCCCACCCCCTCTTTGCCCGGTCCGATCAATCTCTCTCGCTCACTCTTTCAATCCTTCCAAACCCTGGTCTCGCTGTCCCTCTCTCCCCCCACCCACTCTCACTCACTCTCTCTCTTTCTCCGTCACTAACTCTCGTTATTTCGTCTCTCATCCGACAAACGTTCTCCTCCCTTTTGCAAACACACGCACGCACGCACGCATGCACACACACGCGCATACAAGCACACATACACCATGGCCTTTATATATGCGAGTGTACGACATAATAAAACCAGCAGGTCGCACTGCCGTCACCATGGTTACCAGAAACGAACCATAGCTTTTTGCCATCGAGTGCGTGTGCGTATTATACATGTGTGTGTGTTTGTGTGTGTGTACGTACACACCGCGACCGTGTCATGCAGTGAACACACACCCGCAAACGTGTATACACCATTTTTTTTATTATTATTATTACTATTTTTTTTCTTTTTATCGCTCTTCCCCAATGGAAAAAAGCGAAAAAAGTTGTTTTTATTATTTATTTTTTAAACATCCGCACTATAGGTACACCTTATATATTATATTCCAACCCGTCGACACTTGATCGCGGCGTGAAAACAGTATAACTTACTAAGTAGGTAGTACCTATAACATTCCCCATAAGAAATTTAATTATACTCCTATTAAATATCATCGTAGAGTAATACCTAATATATATGTATATTTTTGTTAATAACGATAATGGTATTTGATTCTTGGATAAAATATTAGGTACCTATATATGGGTATAATATTTTACTCTCTAAAAATCGCACTTATTTGTTTTCTATATCTGTAGGTATAATAATATATAGGTGTTTGTGTAGTATTCTAATTATATTTTCGCATTAAATTACTTGATAAATTAACATTATTATTATTAATTATTTACTTAATATTGTAGTTTTTTAATATAAATTAATTGTAATAACTATAGTTAATTTTTTTTATTCTCATACTGCTGTTTTTAAAATACATAGATCTGCCAATAATTTTTTTGCTTACCACATGATGCGTGTATTACGGAACAGTCACGTACCGATGTACCTTCAACGACTTATTACTATGCTTACTATACGCATAACAATTAAAAATGATAAAATATAAAATATTATGATCATATTAAATACATCTGTATTTTAATTTATTTCCTGTATTAATAGGTTACTACCACAACATTTTAGAAATTAGATGACAATAGGATATGTAGCTTTATTAAAATTTAAGTTGATTAAATTATCGAAATACCTATAGGTATCCATAAATTAATATATTATTATAGTTTGTATTATTTGGACTAGCATTATTCACTACATAATACTCATACAATATAATATAATACTCATAATACTCATAATAAATTATACATTCAATTGTATCGTTAACGGTTTGTTCATGAAACTATTTTATTAGATACTTATCTAATAACTAATATGTATATTTAGATATATTTATGAATTCAATAAATATCAATATTATGAACTATGAAATTACTAATTTAATTGTAGGTATAGATTGTACAATACTGCATACCTATATATATTATGTTTATGGAGGTAGAGGTATGTAACAAAACACGCAACTCGTTTATTGTGTAAGCCATGGGATGTCAAGAATATAATTTGTTTAAGTAAACAATAAAGCACATATTATGAAGTGGCACTTGAAAAAACAGTGCCCAATTAGTTCGAAAGTACATGTAAGATTGTGTAATATTGTTTTTTTTTTTTTGCGAAACAAGTAACAATAAATAAATACGTATCATACAGATGTAAATTAGAGGGTTATTTGGACGACAGATGTTGTTTATGAAAAATTTTTACTAACCGTTTTCACTTTACTATCTCTACTTAATTATTAGAAATTTTTATTTGCATAAACAATATTGAAACTATATTCTTATTCTGAATATTTAATGAGTATCAATATTACTGTGAGAAAAATTCATATAGTAAAACTAATAAAAATGCTATTATTATAAATTCAAATATTTATAAGTCAATCTTGAGTTATTCTGGAATATCAGAAAAATGTTATCACATACCTGCTAAATAATAATAATATATTATGAACCTTTATAATTGTATACATCGTTTCCATTTCTATAGGTATACTATAATACTATTTAAATCAATGGTATACCTATAATAATATAAAGTTCTTTTAAGTGCGTGACCTCTAATATTATTTACCATTTCTTCCTAAACATAACTCAATATTTTCTATTTTATTTTGAATGATCATACTTTTGTTTCAGGATTAAGTCATTTAAACCATCAAGAATCGGGCAAGGACTACAGTAATGAAGCCATGACAACATCATTTGGTTCCAACAAGAAGAAGAAAAAAAGAAGGCACAGGCAAGAATTTAAATAAAAATCCCCCACGCTTTCAGTGAGCTGTGATTAATCTCGAAAGAGGCATTACTTTAACTGATCTCAATTAAACATTTCAAATAATAGTTTACCAGCAATATAGATTCCCCGTTAATCTGTATTTATTATAAACATTTATAACTTTTAAAAATATTTATATAGGACAATATTTACAAGTTACCAATTAGAAGAATTAGAAAAGGCCTTTAAAGACGCCCATTACCCGGATGTCTATGCAAGAGAAATGTTATCCTTAAAAACAGATTTGCCCGAAGACCGAATACAGGTACTTACATTTAATTAATAATATATTTAACTATAATTTCAACAATATAACACTTCTATAAGTGATATATTTATCATAACCTAGGTATATACAATATAAATTCGTATTTCATTTTTAAAAAGTATTTAATATAGTTTTAAAAATTGACGGAACGCCTTGACTTTATACAGGATGATTCACCAAGCATGTTAAATCCCCCCACCTCTCCCTTTTTAATATTGCAGTTATTCAAAATCTGATTTTTGAGACTTTTAAATATATACTTAAAGATTATAATATATTTAAATTCTTGTGACGTTTTTATTCCTTAATAAGCGTTCTGTGGAGATGCAGAATTCTGCTTTTCAAATGAGACTCCCCGCCCTCTTTCTACTGTAAACTATTTAGTGAATATTTTTTTCTTAAAATCTTGTTGTGTCATTATCAAAATTTGAAAGAGTAGTTTTTGAGTTATTTAACTTTGTGTTCTAAGGTTAATAAGTTCATGTTAATAGGTTTTTAAGATTTGGGGCTAAGGCGATTTGAAATTTTTAGTAATTGATTTTAATCAATATTTATAATTTATAAAATTGGTCTCAGTATAATATTATAATTCTAGTTCCAATATTATTACATCTATTTTATACTTTTGTGAAACCATTAAGTAAAGTGTATATATAAATTACTGTTTACTATACATATGTTATAACCTAAATATGTTTAAAGTTTATACGCTTAATGCTTATTATTTACAGTATACGCTATAATATAGGTTTGATATATTTGGGAAATTATGATCAATATAAGTGTCCTATTTTACACGATTTTTATTTACAATGATTGTATAATAAATGTATACAATACAATTTACTTATAAAAACAATAAATTATACCATACATTTATGACATTTAAACTAACAATAGTTAGAACAATAATTTTTGCATATGCGTAGGCGTATTAAACGTAATACTATGTAGGTACCTAAATTGTATTTAAAAAAAAATACATATTGAATTTTAACCAATAAAAATACTATAATATATTAATTATAAGTCAAACCAATAAATAATTTCATTTAAACAGCAGTTTAACAATAGAGAAAACTCAACAATTTATTATACTATAAAAAAAACTTAGGTGCATCTAGTATACACATATGAAAAGTAAGAAATACAGTGTATGACTATTTTCTTCAGCAAATCGAAAAATCTTATTATTTTACAAACTTTCATTTTTCAATAAACAATAATGTACTTATATAAATTGCAATGTAAAATATGTTATATTAAACAATTATTTGTCGGATAACCTGATAAGGAAAAAATTATTCACATCCTTTAATTATAGCATGTCCGCGTGATGACATTTAATAATTGTATTTATACGTATAAGTCTTATTTTTATCAATGAAATTGAATTTTATAAAGTTAGTGTTATATTGTGTTAATATTCATTAGAAACTTATATTTAGAATGACCCGTTTGTAATGTAAATCTGGGTATAGTGTAGGTCTTCAGTTTGCGTCAAAATATATCCATATTCTATAAGTACCTATATATATTTTAAAATGAGATAACGGAGCTGAAACATAATATAATACATACATATAGGTACCAGTGGCGCAACTAGGGTTCAAATCTTAGGGGTGCTACCATATTGAATCGCTCACAAATCCGTGGGGAGCTCCCCCCCCCACACACCCCAACATTTCCATTATTTAAATTATACTACTGTTCACAGATATACACTTATACCGTTAATAGAAAATAAATGTATCACATTTTGTTTTTTTTTTATTATATTATAATTCTAAGTGTCAAACATAGCCGTCTATCGATACTAAAGCAAATGAGTTTAATATTTCTTCAGGTACAATTTCATTAGTTAGGTCTCTCTCGATATTGATAATACTCAAATTAGTATAATAGTAATTAGTAATAATCAATGCTCAAATTAGGGGGGGGGGCACAGAACGGAGCTCCTCTACTATTTTTATTTTTTCTTTGCGTACCCCAACAATTTTTTTTTACTTGGACCCCGGGCAGTACAAACCATGCCCAAAATAATTTTTATTAAAATTTGGAGAGGATCTAAAATGTTGTCAAAGATAAGCAAACCTAATGAATTTTACATTTTTTAATATAAAAAATTTAGATAACCGTTAAAAACAAAAATAACTGATGTCTGATTGTATAAAATCTTAAAAAATAAAATTATCTAAATTATTGTTAAAACTTTAGTTATTTGAAATTACTAAGACATGGAACTTGGGATTGCTTAAGCATCCCCTAGCACCCCCGTAGTTGTGCCACTGATAGATACCTATAGTTATATTTTTTGAGAACCCATTTGTAATCCCCTATTTCTACTAGGTACTCTAAAATACCTAATATGTAGATAATATATTTGTGAGTGTATACCCACACTTATTTATTTTCGTATCAGGTTAATAGGTATTTATTACATTCCATGAATTTATCTATTTTATGCAATATCGTATCGACGTATATAGTAGATTACCGGAACCTCAAACCTCCCACTGAATCAATAGCTAATATTATTTTTATTTTAAACTTTAATAGTATACCTACGCAATAATATTATTACAGGTGTTTATTTATCCAATAATAAAATACCTTAATAATGATTACATATTTAATTTTGATTAAGAACTATTATAAAATTATTACTTTGTATCTCAACCTAGATCCATATAGGTATAGGTAACTATATTATATTATTAAACATTATATTTTTCCCAGTTCAGATTTATAGATCCACCCTTGTATATTATATATATATATGTATTATAAATAATACCTATTGATATAATAATATGTGTATCGTGATATAGTATTATATTATTATATATCCTATGTACCTATAGGTATACCATTATAAAAAATTAATATAAAATATAATATTATTATATGTGTGTGTGTGTGTGTGTATAGTGTGTACACAACCGCGGTGATATATATAATAATATGGTGTGTAGTATATAATATATTATAATATGTATGAAATGTAATTGCTACGACTTAAGTGCACCGAATATAATATATATATATATTATACTTATCGTTTGAGGTGTTCCTACCTATATATAGGTACCTACAAACATACTGAATACAGGTATAATATGTGCACGTGCACTTAATAATAATTATATAATGGTATACATAATACCGCGGTGCGAGGACGCGGGGTGCGAAGGAAATTGAAAATATTTATTTAACCGAGGGAATGGTTTTGGAGCACAGCCATTGGACAAGTGGCCAATTAACGTACAGGGCGGCCGAGGCGGAGTCTACGCGCGGCGGTGGCCGTCCGGGCGGCGCGAAACCATTAGACGGAAAACACGAAACAACTGGCGAACGACGCGTAAATTTAGAAACGCGCACCTAGCAATTATATATTACTATTTTATGTACCATACTATTACCACTATTACCGCTACTGTGCACTGCTGCAATATTGCAGTCTATATACATTATACACACACCAAACATGCACGGCCGTCCGCGTGGTTTCTTTTTTTTTTCCAAAGGGGAGGTCTTTGCAGTAACAGCTGTTGGTGTAGTAGTACGCTGTAGTCGTACCTATATATAATATAGCTGTACAACTATTGAACTATGAATGTATATATAATATATATAATACACGTTTATGGTGTAAAAATAATTACTGTATCGGATAAGTCAACCCTGCAGCAACGGCTGCAACAATATAATATAATATTATATTATATATAAATAAAATATTACTTTTATACTTATAAAATAAATATGTACTCACTTATAATTTGGTGGTACCTGCTACTGCTAACCGGATATGTAAACAAAACGTTTTTTATTTCTTGTGTAATTACACAGCCAATTATAGATGACCATCTCAAATAATTTTACATGCGAAAATCGTGTAGCTTTAATATATATATATAACTGCATAACTATATCTAATCGAATTATAAAATATACACTCCGAATGGTTCACTATTAAATAAATTATAAATTAATATTACCCATGAATTATTTTAAAGAAATAAAATATTAAAATGTATGTGCCTCATTGATAAAACATATTTAATTTTCTTCTACTTAATCACTATATTTAATCTCTGTTGCTGCAGTATCCAATTCATTATTAATATTTAAACTATTTTCTATTAAAATAAGTATTCAACTTAATCAGAAAATGTTGAACATTTTTTATCCAACATAACTTAAAATGCATTTTATATTGACGATAGAACGAATTTTAGATGACCCTATATAGCCAAGTATAAATAATATCTTCATGGATACATCGTAACTAAACCCTCGGCAAGTAAAGACAAAAAAAGTTTTGTACAATTAAAAAGTTAAGAGGTTTTACCATATTTCATAAAAATATTATTTCAAATGTTGGTTAATTTTAGTTGCGCGTTTAGTTTTGAATATTTAGCAAACAGAAAAAATTAAATTTCCATAATAGCACAAATAATAAAAATTTAACGAAGGTTTATTTTGGCTTTTAAATTAATACAAATTAAACTTAATGAATCATATAAGCGTGAACTGTTGCAATTCTTTGGGATTTGTTTTGAAATTTTTTTTTGGTAACCTATAACAATGTATCATTCTATCCCGCACTATATGTGCAATGGCGTCGTCATTTCGCATTAATTTGTAAGATGGAAATACATATGTAATCAATAGGTACATCAGAACCGATTGCATTTGTTCCATAAATATGACAATATCTAAGATTTTTATTATTTTACATAATACATTAATAATGGATATTAAAAAAAAATAAACAAATCATAGACGATCACCACAGCACAATGCACAAATGCCATCGCTATGATATATTCATTATCATTAAAACAGAATTCTTTATAATATATATGATCTACGCTCAGCTTCAAATATATTTCTCATTTCTCGTGCGGTGTCGAATGTCAGACAAATAGTTTGTTCGTATTATAGTATATTATTATAATATTATGCTATATTATTTTTACACTGCCATATAC